AAACCAGTGAGTGACAAAGACAAATTTACCAGAGAAATTGACGAGATCAGCAGCCTCTAGCCTTGCAAAGGAGGGAATACTTTCCCCCAACCAACTTCTGTCTGGACTGCAAGGGTTCTCTGCAGCCCAAAACTGTGATCCTGGCATTCATTACTTGACAAACTCCACAGACACAATTTACATTGACAGAGATTAATTGTAGGTTGCATCTCCATGCAATACTGTAATTGCTACTTGAAACACAAAGGAAGGAGCAGAGACCCGGGGCTTGTATTTTTATAGAATGGCTGTACCTCTGTTAGTTTCTGACCAGACCTCATCTTCATCGAAGTGGGCATCTCCACCCAGGCCTGATCCAGGTGCAAAAGCATGAGCCAGGGTTCCGCCTCTCCCATCAAATGGATAGAAGTCACCATGGGCTGCGTTGGAAAAGAAGGAGAAATCAAAATATCACCTGCAATGCAAGATATGGTCCCATCTGCAGCTTGAAAAAGTTGCTTTCACCCCCAACACAATGCCCATAATCCACTCCAGCTCTGAAATTCATCAACAAAACAAAACCAAAAACTTAAGCCGTCTTACCCCCAGATGCAAACCAAATTTCTATATCAGCAGGTCCTGTTGTTTTTGTGAACTTGAGGGGGGTCACATCACTCCACACCTTTAATGCCTTTGCCATGGTCGTTTCCACCGTACGCTTAGACAAATCATCAGTGTAGTTTTTAATCCTTTGAACAGTGAGGGGGGAAATGATGTAATATTAATTTGAAAACAGTTGGAATCATTTCTCTAAAAGCTAAAATAACATACCTGTAAGTCAAGGAATTCCTATTCCATTTCGGTCTTTCTGGAAACGTACTGTATTCTAAGACGTCAGGAACACCGCATCTAGGCTGTTCCATTATCTCTGCCGTTTCTTCATCAATTGTTCCCGTTATGGTTAAATGAAAGAATTTCTGCATCTTTTTAATTTGTTCTTCAAGAGTTTCCTTGATTTTTTTATCCAGATTTGGGAAAAACCTGTTGAGGTAATGCTGTATATGTAGGGAGAGAGGGAAAACAATTCAGTTTGTTTCTGTCACAGTACAATCCTATATATGTCTTGTAGCATGGGAAAGTTCCAAAATACTCATAGCTAGCAAGGTAGTCCAAAAGTTAACTTTTACAATATCTGCTGAATCTTGTCAAGAGTAAATCTCTTAGTTTCAACAGGACTTACTTTCAAGAAAATAAATGCAGAATTACAACTTATTATACTGTATATCCCTCAAAATATCACAAATTAAGATACGGGATTCTCATGTGCTTCTGAACTCTATACTCTGTAGTTATGTTGTTAAATTTTTAGATCTGTATCCCATCTTTCAGCCAGTTCTGCACCCTCTAGATCATGAATTAAAATTAAAGGCATAAAGACTGCTAAAAAGAGCAAGATTTTTTTTAAAAGCAGCAGCATGAAAAGAGATCTAAGAATAATGATAAATGTTTGTTGTTGTTGTTTACTCGTTAAGTCATGTCCGAGTTAAGTCATGTTGGGGACCAGAGCACGCCAGGCCCTCCTGTCTTCCACTGTCTCCCGGAGGCAGTGATAAATGTTTAGGTTAAATAAAAAGATATTTATATAACTCTGGAAAGACATATTCTGTCTTGACTCTTGGGAAGCTTCAAAAACTTATTTTGGTGCAGACTTAAGAACACCACATATTTTTCATTTATAGTTTATTACTAATAATTTATACAGCCCCTCCCACTTGGCTTTCCTTTCCCTTTAATGAATGTGAGAGTATTTCACATCCCTTTAAAAGCAACCACTAATAAAGGCCCCATGTCTGAACCTAGATGTGAAAGAAGGACTGTTTATGTCATTCCTAGGGCAAACATAATCTCTCCCTTTGACATTTACAGTACTTCCAAGTGGAGTGTGTGTTCCATCCACGTTCCTCCACTTAATGTATGTCTACAGATGTATGCATTTCTCAGTTCTGTGTCGTTTTGAGCCACCCCTTATTCAAAATTCTCTATGTGTTTTTTTCTCCAAGTGAGAGCCAGAGTTAGTAATGCTTAGCAAAGACCCATTGAAATAAATAGTTATTCCTGACTAAGATATATTGATAACCTTAGTGGATCTATTCTGAGCACAATGGAGCCAATACCTAAGCTTATGACTGCAGCTGTGATGTTCAAAAATACAGAAAGAAGCCATGCATTATATTTCCTAGGTAAAAATCACCAAAAGTATCCTGGTAATGGAACCTCTTCTGAGAACACAGCAGCAGGACATGCCCTCCAGGTACAGTTCTATGTAATGGAACCTCTTCTGAGAACACAGCAGGACATGCCCCCCAGGTACAGTTCTACGCAATAGCCGATAATCCAATGATAACCACATACCTGTATGAATTTTGGATCCTTGGCTGGGTGTTTTCGGCGTATCGGAAAGGCAGAATTGCAAGACAGCAACATAATAAAGCACAGCAACATCACATGTCTCATGGTGGAAGTTATCAAACACAACACACTGAAAAAAGCAAGTCTTTGGCCTTGATGTCTCACAGCCCAGGAGACCAATGCTTATATAAGCCTGACCAGTGACATGCTGTAAAAGTCTGAATGACTCACTTTGAGGCATTTGCCATTTTTTTTATGTTCATGTTTCTGAAACATTTTTTTCAAGTGTCAGAATTCCAAAACAATTATGAGGAAGCGTTAAATGATATCCGCTCCCCTCCTCCTCTTCCTCCTCCTTGTTGACATTTCAATTGATGTCATACTTAACCAGGAGCCACTTTGCACCCCCTATTTTCCATCCTATTTCTTCTTTCATCTGCCAAAAACACAGGATGTATGAAAGTTGGCTCCGAATTCAGCCAATACATCTAATGTACAACCTCACCTTCTTTGACTTGCCCAACCTTTTTTTTTTAGCTTTGCTAGTGAGACTTATTACAACATGCTGTTTTGCAGAGAAAGCTGGACGAGTACTCATTAAAGAGCAAGTAACTTGTTCTCTGTATGGTTCAAATGGTGTCAAGTAGCACACTTCATTGAAAGGGTTCCATTGAGAGAATGCTTTTGTGTCTTGGGTCTTTTCCAGATGGAGCTTTTGTCCACCTCCAAGTATTCAGTTCCACACTGATGTTATTAGTATTTTTCCCCTGCCATCCATATGATGTTCTTCTTATCTTACTCTATATAATGCATTTTCCAATGACTTTGATCTCCTTTCTCCTTCCTATTGAAAGCATGGCTTAATTTGTACACTGGTGGTGGAATTTAAGGTTTCCCATTAGAAGTCCATGATGAGAAACATATTTCTTAAAGCAAGGAGAAATGGGTCTGTAAACAAATCTATGGAGGCAAATCCTAGTAAATCCCCTGCTTTTTGCCATCAAGCAACTGAAAGGACATGGGGGTGGAACAAATGCTGTGTCTGGAAGAGCTCTTAGATCAAAGATGGAGAACATGGGACCTTCCTATTATTGTTTGACTTTCATTGGCCCCTCTCAGCATTAGGAATAGTCAGGCATAATAGGCATTAAAGGTAAAGGTAAAGGTTCCCCTTGACATTTTTTGTCCAGTTGTGTTTGACTCTAGGGGGCGGTGCTCATCCCCGTTTCCAAGCCATAGAGCCAGCGTTTTGTCTGAAGACAATCTTCCGTGGTCACATGGCCAGTGTGACTTAGACACGGAACGCTGTTACCTTCCCACCGAGGTGGTCCCTATTTATCTACTTGCATTTGCATGCTTTCGAACCGCTAGATTGTCAGGAGCTGGGACAAGCGACGGGCGCTCACTCCGTCGTGTGGATTCGATCTTACGACTACTAGTCTTCTGACCCTGCAGCACAGGCTTCTGCGGTTTAGCCCGCAGCGCCACCACGTCCCTCTCTCACAAGGAAGTTCCAGTAGTTACGTGACTTCCACATTGTTGCCTATTTTGGGGAGGCTAAACATTAATCCTTAAACTTTAAAACAGGCATTGCACTCCAATAACCTCCAACAAAACTCCCCCTGCAAGCAATGTAGCTCCTTGCCTGTTAAACTGTTGGAAATTCGAAATGGTTTGATGTTATTCTGTAATGTGTTTCCCCCCACGGACCAGCTTTTCACATGTTGCAATAAAGTGACAAGCAGAGGACGTTCAACTGACATGTTGTGTTCTACTGTACCTTTAGTGCAACACGCACTGTGGAATGTTTTTGTTGATGTTATTCATTCTTTTATTATTGTTATGTTGCTGTATATCTCAATTCACTTACCTGCCACTGGAGACCAAGGCCAAGGTCATCAACACCATTGCATTTCTAGTTACTGTGTACCAAAGAAAGAAAGAGAGAAAGGAATATTTTTAGTTGTGGCCTTCTCCAGTGCTGGCATGCAGAACCCAACAGATTTTCCTCATAGTAACGTGATAAGGTGGATAAAATGCAGGCTGATAGCTAGAAATTTTGAGTTGAGGAGCTGGGGTTCTATGAGAGGGGTCAGCAAAGTTAGATGAAAAGTATGTTACATATGATATTTTTGAATGCTTTTGGGCTAAACTGAATTTTAGGCCCAACTGAAGTAGTAGTGAGTAGTAACTAATAGTAGTAATGAGTAGTAACTCATTAAAATAAGTGGGGATTTATTTATTTATTTTATATGCCGCCCACACTACCCAAAGGTCTCTTTGGGTGATTTGTTAGTGTTGCCTAAGAAGTTCCTCACATATCTATGACTCTACTCTACTCGGAATAACAATATATATCCCTGTTTAGTGCATTATTGCCTAGTCAACAGAATGCTCTACACATCTTCCACTGCATGATCAGTATAAGTGTCCAGCCCTCCATGGTGTCCCATGGTGCCCTACAAGCCTGAAAGGGTTCTTCTGCTCCCATTTTAAAATGAAAACATCAGTTATTTTTATTTTGGTATAGATAATTTGTCTTCATCTGGTACATTGCTACTCATAGCTAGGTCATGCCTTATTAGGGCAGGGGTGGGAAGGCTCTGAGGACCAGGAACCAATTTCCCACCTTGTGCTCCACCGGGGCAATGCTTAGTGACCCCCCTAAGAGTCCCCAAATCAACAGCAACAAATGAAACTGGAACACTTCCAGGAGAGGCAATTTTACTTTTTTCAGCATTTTTGTTTCCTAGTTGGGGACAGGGGCCCAGTTCATAGACTGCAAAAGCCACTTGGACAACATGAAAAATTGGCCCAATGTTGCAACTTCTCCACTGATGACAGTGATCTCCGAATTTTCGAATTATCCAGTCTCAATTAATATGGATCTCATGTCTTGAAATAAGGGAAGGGGGGGGGAATTAAGATGATTAAGTTGTGGATTTTGCTCTGTCAGCTTCATTCCCACCGCCTGTGACTCAGGTTAAGCTCCTCATTTAGATAAAATCAGATGGTGACTGTTTATCTCTAGTGTGTAAATAATCCTTGACCACCTTGTGGGAACTAGACTGCTTTATCTAACAACAGATTTTTGTAATGTATCAGAGGACCTGGAAAATCCCTCTCTCACAAGGAAGTTCCAGTAGTTACGTGACTTCAAAAAGAATACCAAAGTGCCCTTCCGCATTGTTGCCTATTTTGGGGAGGCTAAACATTAATCCTTAAACTTTAAATTATTAATGGTGAGTTATATTATTCATTGATTTGAAGGTTTTTGTGAGTCTTTAATGATGCCTCGGATCAAGACTCAGCCATGCTTAGAGGAGAACTGTTGAAGTTATTGAGACAAGCTGCGTTTAGCTGACATAAATGCTGCTGATTTCAGTGGGTCTACTCTAAGCATAACTAAGCCAGGTTCCAACCCAGTGCGTACAAACCAATTTGCTTAAACGAACAAACCAACCCACAATGGTGATTTCTCCTTGCATGCCCTTCAAATTTTGGCATGTTTACAGTGAGGTCGGGTTTTATGAATGAAACAAAGTCCTTCTGTTTTTGGGATTTATATTGTCTTGAAGTTATGTTGTTCTTTTGGTTTAGTGGTACTTGGCTAATGCAAAGGTAGAGTGACAATGTAAATATACATAAATGAAGACATGCTTTTGGTGAAATCGCCCCAGGCTGTACCCACTCAAGCTGAACTGATTGTGTGAATTTTCTGATATGGTTTATCATTTGCTAGGAATTCTTCCAAAAGTGGACTGAAACAGAACATAGTAAGCCCAAACGTGGACACACATCACAGCCAAAACATTTGCAGTATCAGTTCCACAGAGACAAACTGACACCACCTCACCATAAAGACAATACAAACACATCTGTTGCTGCACCAATGCATTGCCAGCAACCAATCTCTCCTGCCCCTCTGGAATGGGGACGAGAAGCAGATCAAGGCTTTTTGGCTCTACTTTGAGGGAAGCTCCACAGTTGTATTTTCCAGTTCTCTGGAATATTGCCTATGTGTGTTTGTGTACTGGAAAAAGGAGACTGCCCACTCCTATTTTATGTTGGATTAGGTTGTTTCATTAGCAAAGCCTAGCTTTGGCTCCTGAAATGCCTTCTGGTTAAGGGGATTTTTTTAAAATGCCATATCTGTTTTCTCACATATATTGAGAAAATCAGATATACGATAAAGAATCTTGTGGTACCTTTAAAATGAACAACTTTAGTGTTAACTATATTGAAGGATGCAGTTGATTTTACAGCAGGTAATATCTACCTATCTACCTATCTACCTATCTACCTATCTACCTATCTACCTGCCTGCCTGCCTGCCTGCCTGTCTGTCTGCCTGTCTGTCTGTCTGTCTAAATTGATACCCTAGCCCAGGACAGGTTAAATATGGTCAAATTTAGATATATCCAGTGACCACCCTGGCCGCTGCATTTTGCACTTGCTGCAGCTTCTGAACCACCTTCAAGGGCAGCCCCACATAGAAAGCACTGCAGTAGTCAATCCTCAAGATTACCAACGCATGAACCAGTGTTATTAGGGATCTCCTGTCGAGAAGGGGATGGAGGTGTGCAATCTGCTTCAGATGGAAAAAGGCTGATTTGGCCACAGCCAGGATCTGTTTCCCCATTGAGAGGGCCGGGTCAAGAAGCATGATCAGATTTCGCACATGGTTCTTCAGGGGGAGTGTGACCCCATCAAGATCAGGTAACTGGCCCCCTAACTGATCAGGATGCCCTCCCAGCAAAAGGATCTCCTTCTTGTCAGGATTCAGTTTCAGCTTATTTGCCCTCGTCCAGTCCATAACTGTGGCCAGGTAACGGCCCTTGTCCAGTCCATAACTGTGGCCAGGTAACATTCTAGGGTTTGTACAGCTTCCCCTGCTGAAGAGGAGAGATAGAATTGCATATCATCAGCGTACTGATGACATTGATCTCTGAATTTTCGATGACCTTTCCCAGAGGCCTCATGTAAATGTTAAACAGCAAAGGGGGATGATCAACCCCTGTGGAATACCACATTGTAGTGTCCACAGGGATGGAACAGCTTTCCCTAGCCAAACTCTTTGGCATTGGCCATCAAGGAAGAAATGAAGCCAGCATAATGCTAGACCTCCAATCTTGATAACTGATCCAGCAGGATACTGTGGTCGACAGTATCAAAGGAGGCTGAGAGGTCTAGGAGGACCAACAGGGTCACACTCCCCTGGTCAGCCTACCATAGTAGGTCATCTAGCAGGGTGACCTGAAGTGTTTCAGTCCCATGACGCGGCCTGTTTTGTTCTGCCCTGCTGACTACATATGGGCTTATTTCCTTGACCTCTGGTGGAGCTAATTGAACTCTTCTTTTGTATATTATCTTTCACATGAAATCTTGGCTGACTGTTGTTCTTCTTAGAGCAAAATAATCCAACGTTTATCCAGGAAGCTGTGGTATATGGATGCAGATCTTCTGCATTGCCTGAAGGATTATGTGCATCAAAGAAAGTGTTTGTTATCATCCCTGGCTCTGAGAGTATAACAGATTTTAAGTACTGTACAATGTGTTACAACAGTTATATAAGCTGTTATTTTATAGATGCTAAAAGGTTTTATGGGATTTTAAAAAATGAATAGACATATTAGCGTATGCAGGTTTATATAACTGAAGAAGACACCAAATAAGTGTCCAGAAAGAATAAAGGGAAGGCTGTATAATCCTTGAGATTATTTATTTATTATTTTATTTAAAATATTACACAAATGTAATCTTGTACACATACAAATGTATTGATGAACTATATATAATAGTTCAGGTTGTAGCATTGGACCTGTTAAATGTTTGTTGAGTTATTTTAGCAAAGTAGTAGAAAGGTCAAAGTGCACAAAATGGCCACATCCACATTTAGAAGCAGACTTCTCTTAACTGGTAAAAGATATTTGTTTGTTCTCACACAAAGTTTTCTTATCTCAACAAAGTGGACTGTTTTGTTTTGTGATTTGTCCCCTGGTATGCAAAAACTTCATTTGGAAGCCTGGCTGATAAGTGAAAAGCTCCAAGGAATATCTTTGCTGCAGGAATAAAAGGCTTTCAGTTTTGTATTGCAAGTTGGCTCCTGTAATCTGAGAAAAAGAATGAAGACGCAGTTCCAGAAATCACCAGGAATCACTGGATTTCTGCGTAGCTCCCACATGTGGTGGACAAGTGAACTGCAGGTGGCAGCTTCTTGAAATACAGTGGTGCCCCGCATAGTGACATTAATCCGTTCCAGAATTAACGTCGCTATCCAGAAACATCGCTATGTGGCAGGGGGGAACCCATAGGAATGCATTAAACTCCATTTAATGCATTCCTATTGGGGAAAAACTTACCGGTAAGCAACCACACATTACATAGAAGACAGGGAGATATGGCCTCCCATTTGCATTACATTGATCACATCGAGGGGACAGAGAACCCAACTGAATTGTTCAAAGTTATGTGGTGAATAAACTGTGAACATTTTATTTGTACACCTGTGTTTTTCTGCAAAAGTCATGGCAGTTCTGTGAATCTATTCCAGATTTTATTCTGCACTTGGCAGGAGCTATCTGAGATTCTGAACCTCACCACAAAATAGGTTTGGCACATTTTAACTCCTGTACAGTGCAGAGCAAAACCTTTCTAATGATTCCTTGGTGCATATGGTTGCTGCTTTCCTTACCTAACCCTATGATGTGGCTGTGGACTTTCTATTTTCTTGCCAATGAAATCGCTTTGCGATGATGGCTTCCCCCCCATCATCACAAACACCCCCTTTTTGCACAGCTGATCAGCAGGGCCGCACGATCTTCGCAAAGGGCCGTCGATCAGCTGTGCGAAAACGGGGCGTTTGCGATGATAGGGGGAAGCCATCATCGCAAACGCCCTGTTTTCGCACAGCTGATGTGGGGCCTTTGCTAAGATCCCTGGCCCCTCCGATCAGCTGTGCAAAAACGGGGCGTGTGCAATGATTGGGGGGGAAGCCATCATCGCAAAGCGATTTTCCCCTATAGGGAACATTGCAATGCGATCGCTTTTGCGATCGCAAAATCCACATCGCTATGCGGATTCATCGTTAAACAGGGCACCCGTTAAGCGAGGCACCACTGTATGTTCATGCTCAAAGAATAAGCTCTTCCTGTACTCTAGATTTCTTGGCCATTCCTTGCTCCTGATTTGTTCTTTCCTTCCACCTTTCCATTCCTGATTGCTGGGTATTCTTCTGACTTCTGTTTTTTCTGAAAGTTCCCTCACACCAGACCGCTGCACATGGCTTAACCCAGACAGCTATAAAAGGTCTGGCCCTTTGCCCGATGGTGTGGGTGGGCAAAATGTGTCCTTTTACATGTAGTTTGCAGCTCACATCATCTGTCACTATCTGCTGTAGTGGCGTCCACTTTAGGAAGCTGCAGGTAAAGACCATCTGAAGAGTTGTATGTCAACCACCCTGCTGGATTAGGTTAGGTATTTGAATACAAGCAAACATGAATAAAACATTTAAATGAGCTTGAACAGAAATGGTGCTCAATTCCTACTATAAATGCTGGCTTCAAAGGCATGGCAGCTTACAGGTATGCCTCAGGTAAAGGTAAAGGTTCCCCTTGACAAATGTCCAGTCGTGTACCACTCTAGGGGGCAGTGCTCATCCCCATTTCCAAGCTGTAAAGCCAGTGTTTGTCAGTAGACAGTTTCCATCATCACGTGGCCAGCGCGACTAGACATGGAACGCTCTTACTTTCCCACCGTGGTAGTACTTATTTATTTACTTGCATTTGCATACTTTCGAACTGCTAGGTTGGCAGGAGCTGGGACAAGTGACGGGAGCTCACTCCGTCACGTGGATTCAATCTTACGACTGCTGGTCTTCTGACCTTGCAGCACAGAGGCTTCTGTAGTTTAACCCGCAGTGTCACCATGTTAACAAATACACCATGTTATTATATATACCCAACATTTCAATATAGTATTATTTTTTTAAAAAATATTTGAATAACTTGCTGTTCTTAGCTTTTAATATTGTGGTGTTTTTTTAATGATGTGAGCTGCCTTGGATCTTTTTTAAGGAGAAAGGAAGGGTAAAAGTATTTTAAATAAATAAATAATAATAAACAAATTTAAGCAATCCAAACAGTTTGGCATCATCTTCAGAAGATCTGCCCACCACGCAATGTATACCTCTAACTGTCGTTCACTTTTTAAAAAAATAGAAAGTGGAGCTGCAGAATGATTGTTTCTCCTCCCTCCTTCCCCCATTCTAGCATCATGATATATCCCTTTAGCAAAGGTACCTTTTCTCCCATTACCTCATGGATGTATTGGAACTGGGAGGGCAAGATTACAGAGACTAGAATTATAAATGATGCAGATAAGGCCTGGCCTGTTTTTGTGAGTTGTGTGCTACCAAGCTACCCAGTCAGAGGATTAGAACATTGCTTTTTTAGAGTAGACTTCCTAGCATGGTTGAATATCTGATTATGAACGATGTTAGATGTCTTGTTTGGTAATCTTTAGCCAGAGTTGGGAAAAAGTATTTTTTTAAAAAATATATCTCCTATATTGTCTGGGACAAACCAATTTGTCCCAGTTTCCATCAGCCCTGCCACCATAGTCACTAGCAAGGGAGAGTGAGAACTGTTGTTCAACATCGGTACAGCCACAAATCCCTTACCTCTGCTCTATGGTCTTCAGCACAAATGTTTCTTCAACTTATGGTATTGTATGAAAGACAGCCTGGTGGCCACTATGGAAAGGTGTTCTTTGTTAGTGTCCTTATGGAATGTGATTGTTCCCTCTTTATGTCTCCCCCTGGTCTTTTAGGATTTGGTTATTTAGTATGTGTTGTCTGGACAGCTCAGAGGTTTTGCTATGAGCCAGATGTTGAGAGTTCAATTCCTCACTGTGCCTCCTATGAGTAGAGCCAGCTTGTGTAGTCGTGGGCAAGATGTACAGTCTGAGGGCACTCCCAGAAGAAGGGAATGGGAAACCACTTCTGAGTATTCTCTTCCTGAAAAATCCCGAAAACGATTCCCATGATTCAGAATTGACCTGACGACACATGATTATTATTTTGTATGCATTAACTGTTTTGATTTTGTTGTTGTCAAGACACCTGACAAACTTGCTTAAAGGAAAGGAGAGATGCTTCTGTAATAAAGAATGCATAGGCAAATAACTTGATTGATTGCGTGTTGCTTTATTATTAATTGCTTTGTTATTGAAAAGCACTTTTTTCCTTTCTAAAATAAACGTGACTTGTGCAAAATATGTAAACATTCCATGTCGTTCAGATGCTTAAGAAGATTCTTCGAGAGTTTCATTTTCTTTTTCCTGGAGAAAAGAAAAAAATATTGTTCAAGTGTCAAGAATGAGCGTGCAAGAGGACGATTGTATATCAAGCATCTTTAAACGAGATTTGTTCGGGAAGACATTTCACTTTGCCATTACCAGAGAGTTGTCTTGTGGTATCTTGGGATTGAACATATTTCTTATGGCCTATGAACTCAGAAAGAGTGCTGATGGGCCAGACCAAGGTCCCATATTCTGTCCTCACAGTGACCACCAATGAATGAATGAATGAATGAATGAATGAATGAATGAATGAATGAATGAATGAATGAATGAATGAGTGAATCCATCTGCAGGACATAAGTACAATAGCACCTGTCTTTTCATGTTCCCCAGTAGATGGTGGAAGAGACATGCACACATTTTTCATGGCACTTCCGATCCATGAATGCTTATGCCATAATAAATGTGTTAGTTATCTGACATGATGCAAGAAACACTTTAAGTTACACCATTACTAATCTTCTGCAGCCACAGTTGTATTGACTGCTCAGTTATATTTGAAGAGACAGTGTGATTATTTCACACATATTTCCCTTATAGCATGACCCTAAGTTCTGCTACAAAACCTTTGGTATATTTTATATTGGGTTTCAATATAGAGCTGTAGGCCATTTCTGTGTACACTATACAAAAACAACATTTAAAGAGACAAATGCAGAGGGAAGGCTCTTTCTTCAGAAAGGTGATTTTATTTCCCTAAATAGTTTTAATCCTTTTTAAAATAACATGATTATAGCCCTGTGGCCAGTCTTGAAATGGTGGCTGGGGCTCTGATGGTGTGAAAGGAAAATAGACCAAGAGCATGTCTGGATGGGAATTTGTACCCCACTTTTTGGGGTGCATTGATGGGGCAGATTGTTTCACTCTTTTTTTCCCAGCACCCACATGACAAACATACCAATTTGTCCCCAGGGCGCCCCAACTGGCACCTTTTTGAGCTCTTGTCAAACTCCCCAAAGCCTTCACAACCAGCTGTGCTGATCAGGATTCCTGGGGGGGGGGGTTGTAGTCCAAGAACATCTGAAAACCTAAGGCTGAGAACCTCTGAGCTAGAGAGACCCTTATTATTATGAGACACCAGAGTTCAGGAAAGTTAGCTTTTGAGAGCAAAATCCCCAGAATTGCATATCCAATATGGCTTTTCAGCGCTGAGGTATAAAAAAAAGGGGGGGAGGGAAAGGACATTCCCAAACATTGTGGGAGCATTTCACACTGACATTACCATATAATCGCTGGATTCTTTGCCTATCATCATAAGGTAGTTTGTAGTTATTTGGGTTCCTGTAAGAATAGGAAGGGAACATCAGAGCTCCCTGGACATTTGTATGGCTCAGTCCCAAAGAGTGGCCAAATTCATGTGCAGCAACAAGGAACAGGTTGGTCTCTGAAACACAGGAGAAAAAACAAAAGAGACACAGGTGAGTATAATGCATGTAAGGTACAGTCGTGCCCCGCTTTACGATTACCTCGCATTACGACAAATCCACTTCACGACGACGTTTTTGTGATTGTTTTTGCATTCGCTTTGCGATTATTGGTTCCCTGCTTCGGGAACCGATTCTTCGCAAAATAATGTTTTTTTAACAGCTGATCGGCGGGTTCAAAATGGCCGCTGGGTAATAAACATGGCTCCCCGCTGTGTTTAGGGATGGATTCCTCTCTATATAGGCACCAGAAATGACCACCGTATGGAAGATCTTCGCTGGATGGTGAGTTTTTAACCAACTGGAATGCATTGAAAGGTTTTCAATGCATTTCAATGGGCTTTTTATTTTCGCTTTCCTATGTTTTTGCTTAACAGCCATTTTCCTTGAACGGATTATCGCCGTTAAGCGAGGCACCACTGTAATCGGGTTTGTGGTACTGCAGACACACTCATTGCTGTTCCATCTGAAATTGAGTTTGTCTTATAGGTCGTCTTCTCTTTTCATATCCAGTTTGGTCTCTGAAGCAGTCCTGGGGGTGGCCCCTGTTTCTGATGGCTACACTGCACTTTTAACATAACAGGGCCTTTAGTGTGGTAGCCCCCATTGTATGGAATATTATTTCCTCTGATATTAGACCCACTCTGACCATTGTTGTCTTCAGGCATAGGTTGAAGTTGCAATGATCTCTACAAGGGTTTGGAATATTATTTCCTCTGATATTAGACCCGCTCTGACCATTGTTGTCTTCAGGCATAGGCTGAAGTTGCAATGATCTCTACAAGGCTTATCATTAGAGATTGGTGTATTCGTATATGAATATCCCCACCTCTAGTTATCATTATTGTTCACTCAACCATATATGAAGGCCGGCCAATGGTAAAAGCAGAAGAGGGGGTGATTCGCCTCAAAATGTCAAGTATACAAGTAGCCAGTGCCATATTATTCCTTCTAGATATTGTGATGACAAGGTTTTAAGGGAGATCCTAAGTAAAACTTGTTCCAGGATATGCCATGGAAAGATATTATTTTCCCTCAAAAGATACTTTAAATGTACATATTTAACATATGTATTAACGTGCATTATATTTGTGACATTTTGATACAGTTTTGGAAATGAAAATGTGGGAGCCACACACACACACACAAAGGTGAATTCTGAGTTTCATATCAATCTAAGCATGTTCTGGATCAAGAAGGTGAACAATGAAGAAGTACCAGAACACACGAATACAGATCAGAATACATAAAAGGCAGAAAGCTAGCATATGGCAGCTGGAAAACAGAAACGAAAAGTGCGGATTATCATGTTGAAAGCTGTTCATTCAAGGTAAAAGACATGAAACAAGACAAGTAGGAAGGGGAAAAAAGACATTACAGTTAGAAGAACTTGGGAAACTATTTTGGATGCAACATAACATTCCTGTTTAGGGCTGTGTCAACACAAAGTCAATATGGCTATGATGACATCCAGCCTCAGTTAGGAGAGGAACAACATGAAGAGGTTGACAGCTGATTTTAATATTTCAAGAAGCTTTTATCTAGGAGCACTCTAGGATCAGAAAGGGGCTCATCACACAGTGGCAGGATGAGCCCCCCACCTCTGGTGTATACCAGAGGCCATCAATGCTCTCATCCCTGAGGTTATTTTTCATAAAATTTATTATTTTATGAATTATGACTTTTTTTGGTTATAGTTATAGTTAATAACTTGTAAGCTTCTGTGGTTATGTTGTTCACTGAAAGATGGAATAGAAGAAACACAAGCAATAATCTGTCAATCAGACAAAAATGCAACTTAAAGAACGCCTTACCCCGGTTGTATTCTGACCACTGCTCACTCTCATCAAAATGAGCATCTCCCCCTATGCCTGATCCAGGAAAGTAAGCATGAGCCAAGACTCCTCCTCTACCGTCAAAAGGGGCATAGTCTCCATGTGCTAAAAATGAAAGTAAATGTAAAATGAACAATAATGTTTTTGTTAATACCAAAATACAGTGGTGCCTCGCTAGACAGTTACCCCGCATGACAGTTTTTTCGCTAGCCATTGGCTTTTTGCAATCGCGATAGTGATTCCTATGGGGGAATTTCGCTGGACAATGTTTGGTCCCTGCTTCGCAAACCGATTTTCACTAGATGACGATTTTGACAGCTCCCTCCGTGCTCGCAAACAGGTGTTTTCAGGACCTAAGCTTCGCAAGACAGCGATTTAAACAGCTGATCGGTGGTTCGCATAGCAGCTTTCCTATGGCCGATCTTCGCTAGACAACGACAATTCTTCCCCATTGGAACACATTAAACAGGTTTCAATGCATTCCAATGGAGAAATGCTTTTCGCTAGACAACGATTTAGCTAAACAGCGATTTCAGTGGAACGGAGTATCATAGTCTAGCGAGGCACCACTGTACTGTATTCTGTCATCTGTGTCAGGATTTGCTCAGGACAGTTTGCTGTCTAAGAAGAATCAACAAATGATCTCCCCTTGTTCCATTCATAGTGACCAAAGCCAGCCTCCTTATTTTTTTCAGCACATAGGGTTAAAAAAATCTCTTCTGTTTGGAAAAGAGTTTTGTTGGATTCAAAGTAGTTTTTTTCCCCTGTGGTTCAGTGCAGAAGAAACATTTTGCCTTCAGGAACTGTATATTTTCAAGCCTTGCATGGTATTTCAGAGAAAGGGTGTGCACATTTTAGGATAAGAGCAACTAAAGTGGGAAATACAGGTACAGTATTCAGTAAAATGTGCAAGTAAATGCACACAGTTGGCAAATGTGTTTAAAATAGGCATGAATGCACACGAAGTCTTTTGGCCCAATAGGAAACACGGATGGGAAGAAAATGCACGGATTTGAAGAAATGAAACAAAACAAAGATTGAGAGTTTTTCATATCTTTAAATGAGCAAAAGATCTCAGCTATGCCGTGTGGCTTGTTCCTTGTAGAAAATATATATTCCATAGCTGCTTTGGGTTCCACTTTTTGGAGAAAAAGAGGGCATAAATTAAAACCATATTCCGTGGCATGTAAAAATACTCCTTACAACAACAACATAAGCCAGAGATTTTACAGTTCTCTTTAAAAATGAAATTCTATCTCTGTTTATCCATTCATTCATTTTTGGAAATGGCTACATTGTGCCTCTGCTTGGGAAAAACATGTGGTATGGCGTTGCTTTACCCCCAGCCAGCGGAATAATGTGAGAAGACTTACCACCAGAGGCAAACAGGATTTCAATATCAGCAGGCCCTGTTGTTCTCCTGAACTGCAGTGGGGTCACATCGCTCCACACTTTGAATGCCTTTGCTATCACCTCCCGCACTTTGGCTGGGTGCATATCAGGGGTGTAGTTGTTAATCCTTTTGGCCACAGAGAGAAAAATAATATTTAGAAAGCAGTACTTTTTGGTGCTTCAAAAACAAGCATAAATGAAGCCGAAATATAACCAACCTGTAAGTAAGGATTGTTTTCCCCCATCTTGATCCTACTGCAGCTTTGTATCCTGGAGCATCTGGGACACCACAGCGAGGTTGGTTCATTACCTCTAGTGTTTCTCGATTCATTTTCCCCGTGACAGTCACATGGAAAAACTTCTGCATTTCCCTGAGTCGCTGTTCCAGGCCAAGAGTCGCTGTCTTATGAACGGATGGGAAGAACCTATCGAGATACACCTGGATTGGGGAATTTTAGAAGTCACGTTAGAGCAGAAGTGGACAAGTTTGGCAGGTGCAGGGGTCAAATTTTCTTCCTTAGCCCCCTCTGTGGCTGGTAGGAGAGCTCAGTGAAAAGGAGTAGGTAAAGGTAAAGGTTCCCCTTGACAATTTGTCCAGTCGTGTCTGACTGTAGGGGGCGGGGCTCATCCCTGTCTCCAGGCCGTAGAGCCAGCGTTTGTCCGTAGACAGTTTCCATGGTCACGTGGCCAGCGCGACTAGACATGGAACGCCGTTAGCTTCCCACCAAGGTGGTACCTATTTATCTACTTGCATTTTTACATGCTTTCGAACTGCTAGGTTGGCAGGAGCTGGGACAAGCAAGGGGAGCTTACTTCACTGTGTGGATTCAAACTGCTGATCTTTTGACCTTGCTGCCCAGTGTGGATTCAAACTGCTGATCTTTTGACCTTTCTGCCCAGAGGCTTTGCGGTTTAACCCGCAGCACCACCACGTCCCTCATGAAAAGGAGTACTTGACTGCAAAGCCTGGGGTCAGGAATTCGATTCCCCTCTCTTGTTTAACCCACAGCGCCACCACACCCCTCATGTAAAGGAGTACTTGACTGCAAAACCTAGGTTCAGGAATTCGATTCCCCTCTCTGCTCGCTGGGAGAAGAGCCAGCCTGTGTAGCCTTGGGCAAGCTGTACAGTCCCCTTCCAGAAGAAGGGAGCAGCAACCCGCTTCTGAATACTCCATACGCAGAAATCCCCTGTGAGGATTGCCATAAATCAATTTTAATTAAATCAACCAAAGCTCCCTCTGTGGGATGGACCAGGCCTGAAAATGCTTTAAAAATAAGACCAGAAATGAAGAGGCATTCATTTCTGCTTTTGATTTTTGTATTTTTAGGGCTGATGTGGCACTTCTCCAATCAAGACACTCCTCTCCTGGAATGTTTCGAAACAAACAAATGCACACAAAAACATCCTCTGCTTCGGGACATTGTCGGCAGACCTGAGACACAGTTTTCCCGTCCTTCTTTTTGAATAATTAATGCATTTGTTGGTTTAGGTTGGGTTAAGCAAGTGAACTCTGTGGGTGAACCAGGCACTGCGAAGTGCTACTCCAGCACTAAAACTGGTGTTAAAATGATACTGCAGAGGGAAATTCAAATGGCACTGAAAACCACAATGAAATTAACCCACATACCCCTTTCTTCTTCTTAAATTAATACATCTAATATTCTTATTATTGCAAGTTATAATATGATAATTGTCTAATGCTTTTAAAAAATATTATAGTAACTTATTATTTTAGCTTTTCACTTTGTTTCTTTTATTATTGTAAGCCACCTTGGATCCTTGAGGAGAGAGTCATCACATACATATTTTAAATAAATAATTAAAAATAAATCAATCTAAACCCCCAGAGTTCTTTAAAGAAACCTGGCTGCCCTGATCATATTTAGCTTGGCACTTGGGTTGGCAAAATTACTTTTCCGCCCTGAATCCCCAGGCCAAGCATGGAGATGGTGGATTCTGTGTGTACTTTAAAAAAAAAGAGTTTCCAAGCCCTTGGCAAGACAATAGAATTCCATAACTCTTTAAGACACTGTGGATGTGTCTTATGCAGTTATAATGATGCATACTAGAGGTATGCATACTAGAGGTCTTCAGATTTGTTTATGAATGAAAACTCCCACAGCTAAAAATAGGCCAGAACCATGGATTTGCACACCTCAAATGCACAGGATATTGCTTTCTTGCTAAGGCTCAAAGAAGAGTCATAGCTCAATATTAGAGCACCACCTTCACAGGTGAACCTGAGGAGAGGACCTTCTCTGTTGCTGCTCCCAGACTTTGGAACTCCCTCCCACAGGAGGCCAGACTGGCCCCAACTTTGCTCAGGCAAAGAGCTTTCTCTTCAGCAAGCTTTCTCTCAGCGACTGGCTATATGAGTGACTGGCTATATAGTTGGTTATATGAGTGACTTTTAGACAAATTGTTATGCATTACTGCTCTGACTGGGTCCTTAACACTCCTTGTGTTTCTCTGAGAGTGATATTTATTTGTTCCTCTTTAGTATTTTCCCTACTTGTTGTTTTAGCTTTAATATTGACTTTTAATGATGTAAACTGCCTCTTTATACTCAAGGTTCTTGGCTTTCAATGTTATCGTTTAATGATGTAAACCACTGTGGTATAGTTGACTTCAGCTTTAAATATTGTCTTTCAAGGATGTAAGCCGCTTTGGGTCCTTTTTAAGGAGAAAGGCAGGGTAAAAAAATAGTTTAAAAAATTAAATTGAATAAATATTTTTTTTCATGCACAAATTCCCCATGTCAATCTCTGGTTCCTCTGATCAGGGCTGGGAAATATCTCATCCTGACACCCTGAAGATCCATGGCCAATGCGTGTCGAGACCAATGGTCTGACTCAAGAGCCAGTATCTTGTTTGTATTTATTGTGTGCATAGCTATGATAACGGAAACAGAAGTTGCTGTTTGGGAAGGGGCTGGTCATGCTACCAGACAGGTGCCCGTCAAGCGACCAGCACTTTGAAAAATAGCTCTTTCTGCTTCTCCATGTTTGGCAAATACTAACATGAGACTGGCCAATACAAGACGTCCTCTAGGACTAGTCCTATTATCAGGAAGAGTGAGGTGGTTGTCGTAGGGGCCAGATGCTGCATCCTGCTAACTTAGCCTGCTTCCTGAGATGTAATGGAGAACATTCTTCCACCACCAGTGATGAAGAAATATTCAACAGGAAGCCCTGATGCCCAATGTGTGCAGAATTGGAGGGTGTACATAATCCTCTTTGCCTTAGATAGAAAAATATCTTGGGTAGCTTTTTATGTTCTGCTCTTGGTCTGCTGGATGCAGAAACCGCCTTGGAACCGAGTGTACATAATCTTGCATGCCACAATGCAAGAAAGGTGGGATGTAGGTCAATATGTAATTCTTCACATGTCATCTACAAAATTTACATTTCACTCACAGAGGTATGAAAGAAAATGAAAATGAAAATGCCCACTACAATTTTGGACCCAACAAATCTAGTTTTCAAATCAGTGTTGTACTTATACATTCCATTCCATTGCCTTTGCTCTGAGTACAACCCAAATTAAGCCAATTCATGGGACATAATGCTGAGCTAAAAGCGTTGATGATGCTACATACCTCTAGAAACTTCAGGTCTCCAGTACCTGGCTCTTCAAGATTAGAAGGTATCGGGATGGCAAAGCTGTAAGGCAGAAAAAGTGAAGTGAAGATTAAGAGGCAATTCATCATGATGGCCTTTCCTGGATGTTCTGTATTGATGGAGGAAGTCTTTGATCTGTGATGTCTATCAGCCCAAAAGGCTGAACTTATATAGAGCTTTCTAGCTATCTGGTGGTGCCCCCCTCATGACTCAGTTTGTCACATTTACATGTTTGCGGGGGTTTTTTTTTAAATGTTTGTGTAATATTTTTAGAATTTGAATTCTGCAATAAGTGAAAATGAAAACATGAAGTGGTGCCAGTTTCACATAGGAAATGGTCCACATCATTGTCCTGTGTCATTTGCTGAATACCACACTATACTGAGAAGCCGACTTCCTTAAATGCGGTTGTGGACCATTCCTTTGTCAGATAGATTAGCTAATGTTTCCTTGTTGAGAATGAATGGGTGGGTGCTTTGGTTATCTCTTCTTTATGATCCGATGAGAAAACCACTTAAGCGTCTGGGAAGAATGGGAGAAAGCAAATTTTATCACCCTTGGGGCGCATGCATGTGTGCATGCAAGCACGCGGATGTTGGGGAGAGAAATAGAGACAGAGAATGGGAAGAGGAGAGACGGAGAGAAATAGACAGGTATTATGAGATTAGAATAGAGACTACGAGATTAGAATAGATAGTCAGAAAGAAGTGTGGAATGCAGAGAAGCAGTTGGAGATAAAAAGCATTGCCCAAAGTCTCTGAAGAGCTGATGGAAGTTAATCTTGAAAGGAGCTAACAAATATTTAATATATAGATAAATAATGAAAATGCTTGCTAGTAGAGCTGTGTTTTGTTTGCGTCCATGAATACTCTACTTCTATCCTTGCAAAAAAAAAGAGGAACCTTTGCAAATACTTCACTTTCATCCAGTTGGATTAAAAAAACTTGCATTGAAGAACGTTTTTGGGTGTGGAAGAAAGGTTATTTCATGATATTAAAAAAAAAAGATCCAGAAAATGCAAGTTTGCACTTATATGAACATTTACTTTAAGTATCGGGTAGTTGGGGCTTGTCAGCCTTGGGAGGCAGCCCATCTAGGAGAAGGAAAACTCCGAATTTAAACCTCCACTGCCTTGTGGCTATATCCACTCATGGAAAAGGCTTCAGGAGTTAACCTCGAGGCAAAATCCAGAGTCGGAGTCCCGGAGGCAGTTCATGTCATTCTGTCAATTCCTGCGATGTCACTGAAACCACTTGTATTGGCTCTTGCTTTTCCATTGGACTATTTCACTGACGTGGAGAGGGTGGATTTGCTGGTTGGGTAACAGCCTATCTTCTATATTATTTTACCCAGGCTTCGTGCTCTGGAGAGGACACTCCAGCTTCGCATACAGTGTCAAAACAACACAGAAACTAGCAGTTACCGGTTATTAGTCTTTGCTCGACTGGCATAGAGCATGATGCCAGGGGCTACTTCTGATGGTGGGAGAGGTCATTGCACCTCCCTAGGAAGCTTCTATCTATCTATCTATCTATCTATCTATCTATCTATCTATCTATCTATCTATCTATCTATCTATCTATCTATCTATCTATCTATCTATCTATCTATCTATCTATCTATCTTTCTTTCTTTCTTTCTTTCTTTCTTTCTTTCTTTCTTTCTTCTGTGCTATATCACAATAGGGTGCTATAACACAAGATCACAGGGTGGGGTCCAACAAATCATATAAAACAACTTAACAGTTTAAAATATTTAACATTATTTTATGCAATTTAAACACTAAGATATTGAAACCATTTAAAACTAGAAATATTGGCCCAAACCCTGTTACTTAGCATAGTAAATTACACTGGAGTAGGCACACTGAATCAATGAGGATATGGTTAGTCAACTTCTGTGTAAATTCCATTGATTTAAATGCGCCTGCCATAGTTGTGACTTCAGAGTAGTAAGTTATAAGTAGAATAGGACTATTTGAATCAATTGAACTTATGGAGCAGTTGAATCACCAAATCTCCATGGATTTAATAGGCCTACCCTAGTATGATTTACTATGCTAAGCAACAGGTTTTTGGCCATTGTTTACCAATTTTGGGGTAGCAATGTGGTAAAACATCTACATCGTAGATAGATTTCTACATATATTTCTATATGATATCTGCAACAAAACATAATTTCCGGGGTGTTGAAAAGATGCTTCCTGGATGAGGTATAAGGGCACAATCCTAAGTAGCCAAGGTATCTGTGGATCAACTGCACTAACTCAAGTCTGCATGAAGCTATGCTGCATTCAAACTTAGTCGAAACTGGAGATATTGGGAATTACTTGGGACTAGTCTCAGCTTAATATAATTATTTGTTGTTGTTTTGACTTATATACCACCCCATAGAAGTGAAGCAGTCTTTGGCCAGTTTACAACATAATTATGCAAACAACACTTCATCCTCCAGGAATCTGGTTACTCATTTTATTGACCTCAGAAGGATAGAGCCAACCTTGAACCAGCTACCTGAATTCATTAGGATCAAACTCAGGTTGTGAGCAGAAGCTAGATTTCAGTACTGCAGTTTAATCACCACTTTATGGGGCATAGCAAACCTGATCTATTATTCCCCAGCTCCTCACCCACTATGCCTCTTTCCCACCCTTTTATTGGCTTTTTGCATAGCAGACCTCATCTAGCAGGGCATTTCTGCAGACAAATTCCTCTTTCACAGACCTCTGAGATCAGTCAGTTGAAGGAGCGTGTCTGCTGACAAAAGAGATGTTTCTCTATTCCTAGCTCTAGACAGCAAGCATGCCTTTGTGTTAGAAATGCAGTTAGTTTTCAGTGTTCTCTCAACCAAAAGAAACCAAACCCAGATCCTGCATTTCCTGGAATATTTTGTCTCTCAGGGCAGATCGGCAACCATGGCATTATCAAAGGCATGATTAAGAACCAAGCGAAGGATTTTGCAGATAAAAATATAGATTAGCAGCCCCTCATGATGGCATGTCTCTTTTTGTAGCTCTCGAAGTATGAGAGGGCTTTTAGCAACCATCTCTGACCTCACCTCAAATGTATTATAGTCTTGCATCTCTGGAAGATGATGGGTGAAAGCAGGTAAAGTAGTGTGCCAGGGCCAATTCTATCATTAAATGAGGGTAGCTTGTCAACAGGGCCAATGAGAGGCATCCCCTGAACATTTTGGAATGAAACACCCCTCCAATCCATTGGACACCCCTGCTATTAAGAAAAGTACTTTATATGAGGGGACAAGAAAAGACATAAAATGTTTGTTTGTTAATAAATAAGTAAATGAGTGAATGAATGAATGAACATTATACCCCATCTTTCTTGTTAAAAAGGACCCAAGGCAGCTTACATCCTTGAAAGACAATATTAAAGATAAAATAATAATCCTATCAGTGTTTGTGTTAGGTTTCCTTAACTTGCTCTGGCTAATTGAGGCTCATGGATGAGGTGGCTACAAACTAGACACGTGACTGAGTTCACAACTGATACATGATCTGGTACTTTATCAATTAGCAGCAATTATCTATGGCATGCCGTACAAATCTTATGCAAACATAACCAGGATTCCAGGCACTATTTCTGTTTGTTTGTTTGTTTACTTATTTTATTTTATTTTATTTTATTTGTACCCTGCCTATCTGGTCATTGCGACTACTCTAAGCGGCTTCCAGACAAATAAAAATGCAAAAACCAAATACATATAGCAAAATAAAAAATATAAAACAATAGACAATAAGCAATAAACAATAAACAGATACTTCAAGATGGCACGATGACAAAGAAGAAATGGAGAAAGAAGAATTAAGTATTATCTGGAGGGAAGGCCTGCTTAAACATCCAAGTTTTTAGTTGGGTCTTAAAAATCGACAGGGCCGCACGAATCTCTGGAGGGAGGTTGTTCCAGAGGTGTGTATCCCTGGGCTGTCAGATATTTCTGCCTCAGAAGCCAAAATAACCAATCCTTGGATACAAATGTATCTTAACTTAGAAGGAGTAACTCATTAAAAACTCCCTGAAACTCCTTTCCCAACAACAAAGATGAAACTAAATTACATTGACTGAAATCCTACTCCACAAGAGAATGAGAATAACATTATTGGCAGTGGCAGCTCACTGACAATGAATTTTCCTTTTGTAATTTTTAGGTGTCTTGAGGTGGCTTGGGATATGATGAAGTTGCCTACATCCTGGAATTATGAAAGGAAGTTAGCAGTGATCTGCCACTTCTAATGACACCATTCCCATTTTGCAGGAAGACCCACTCAACAGGATTCTGGCCATTATGATTACAATGTTATGTGGCATAATGTTGGTGCTGCTGCAATGCAACTGTAACTTTAAGAATTACTTTTTTAGTTAAGGGGGAATGGTCTTACTAAGGTGATAGGGAAAGAAAGATCTGGCTGGATAACTTAGTGCCTGCTTAAACATCCAAGTTTTTAGTTGGGTCTTAAAAATCGACGGGGCCGCACGAGGTTGTTCCAGAGGCGTGTATCCCTGGGCTGGCAGCTTACATCCTTGAAAGACAATATTAAAGATAAAATAATAATCCTATCAGTGTTTGTGTTAGGTTTCCTTAACTTGCTCTGGCTAATTGAGGCTCATGGATGAGGTGGCTACAAACTAGACACGTGACTGAGTTCACAACTGATACATGATCTGGTACTTTATCAATTAGCAGCAATTATCTATGGCATGCCGTACAAATCTTATGCAAACATAACCAGGATTCCAGGCACTATTTCTGTTTGTTTGTTTGTTTACTTATTTTATTTTATTTTATTTTATTTGTACCCTGCCTATCTGGTCATTGCGACTACTCTAAGCGGCTTCCAGACAAATAAAAATGCAAAAACCAAATACATATAGCAAAATAAAAAATATAAAACAATAGACAATAAGCAATAAACAATAAACAGATACTTCAAGATGGCACGATGACAAAGAAGAAATGGAGAAAGAAGAATTAAGTATTATCTGGAGGGAAGGCCTGCTTAAACATCCAAGTTTTTAGTTGGGTCTTAAAAATCGACAGGGCCGCACGAATCTCTGGAGGGAGGTTGTTCCAGAGGTGTGTATCCCTGGGCTGTCAGATATTTCTGCCTCAGAA